CAGAATACAATGCCACATTTTATCTGACCCTAACCTTGTTTCTGTATCTAATGCTTAACTTCTCAATGGACTTGAGGTGTTCTACACAGTACATCAATATATGATTTACACATCAAACTGATCGCTCATATATTTATTTCACATCTTTAAAGAGCAGACCAAATGCACCCTATCCCCTGAAATAATTGACAGATATATTAGATGTGTGACAGAAGGTTTGAGATTGTATCTGGCTGTTAGTCACACTGACGCCATGCAGATATGCATACAGTCAGAATGTTGACTCCCGTCAAGTTCTTGATAGTAAATGTTTATCTCTGCAACTGGAAGGTCGGTTAGTGTCAGTGGCAATGTTTGCTTATGTCCGTGGAAAGGAACAGCATCTACTGTGGGGACTTCAATGCTAGAGGATGCCAGTGGGGTAATGTTATCACCAATAAACAGGGGGAAGATTTGAAAGATGCGACTCGCCACAATCAACCAGGCAACTATGAGTGTCATTAACTTGGCTCTGGTGTTGCCCACCAGTGCTCCTCTTTGTAGATGGAACACACTTTGATACCATAACAGCGGCCACCTGCCTTGTGTTGTCTTGTTGGAGAAAAACAGTAAAAGCCACCAGAGAAACAGAACAAATGCTTATCAGCACAACAGCACAGAACAGGATGCCCCCCCTAAGCAAAAATGTACCCAGCCACCATGGTGGGAAAAAGAGGTTGAAAGAGCATGGCTGGAAAAGAGTGTGGCAGAAGGCCAGGAGGAGTAACATATCACAACCAGATTTCCTGAATGACCTGAAAGATAAAGTAAACAAGATGACCATGGCCTTCAAGCCATGTGCAACACAGGTCAGGAATGAGAAATGGAACCGGCACAGTAAGAAGGTATGCTCGGAAGGAAGGGTCTCTCGCAACATTGTGGTGACTCCACCAGGCAATGAACGGCGCCACTCGACATTGGGGTATCCCAGATTTTCAGAGCACAGATCTGACATGGCAGACATCTGATGCAGACAAAAATGGACAGGACCTTCTTCAGCTGTACCAGACTGACCAGAAAAATGAGGCAGCCAGAGTTAAGACGACGCTCTTGAATTTGTGCGAGAAGGCAGAGCTGAGTAATGACTATGTTATCACCACTGAGACCAAAAGGACAATGCTCAAGAAATGAAACAACATTGCTCCAGGCCCCAACGGCATCCGATATGCTGCAGATGCCACAACCAAACAAAGACCACTCCAAGATCAGCGATGCAGAACACGCTAGGCAAACTTCTGGAGAAAATAGTAGCGCAATGATTTAGTGATGACCTGGAAAGGAATAGCAGGCTACCGCTCACACTTAGAGGGTACAGGCGTAAAAAAGAGACATGGTTCAATGCGGCAGCTTGCGCCCATGATGTTTATGAAGGTTTTCAGGCAAAACAAGAGACATGTGCAGCTGCACTTGATCTAGAAGATAGTACAACACAGTACTCTTTGACTACATGGTGCAGATCCTCCAACTAAAAATATCTAAATTCGCTGGCTGGCTGCAGCACTGTTGTAGAGATGGGTGATACTCAGGTGTATTTGTTGGTCCTCAGACCCGCTTACCATTTGTCCCAGATTACCTAAGGTTTTCCGCTGTCCCCAGTCTTCTTTAATATGCATACGTTGCCCCAAAAAAACCGACAGCAATTCAATGGGGTTGGCAGGACAGTTATTTGCTGATGACATTTTGGTCTATTGACATGGAAGAAACTGACATGAGATTGCCAATGCAATGCAGAGCAAACTATATTGCATCTCCTTCTGGTGTGAGGACACCAGTGCACATGTCAACTCTTTAAAAACCTCAGTAACGTGGTTCTCCTTGAACACACATAAAGTTAAGGCACACTTACCAGTGGTGGAACTTAGTGGCAAAGCTCTGACAAGAACACACCGATGACATATCTTAGTGTAAAGTTTGATCACAGTCTGCCCTTCAAAGCCCACATCAACCATGTTTCAACGAAAGCCCGTAAAGGCTTAGCAACAGTGACAGTCCTGGCCACCGCCAACATCAAGCAGAGACTGCTTCTGTTCCAGGGACTGCTTCTTTCTCCAACTGAATACGCTTTAGCCATACTGACCGTCAGCGATAATCAGACTGAAAGACTGGAAAAGGTGCAAAATTAAGCCACGCTCTTCATTCTGGGGTGCACAAGAGACACCTCTTGCGTAGCAATGAGAAATCTTCTTGACTTTCCGACAATGCACCATAGGATGATCTGGGGAGCTCGTGCATGCCTGAAGATGGGCTCGGATTTGAAGCACCCTCTGCACAATGTTCTCTTGCGGAAAAAAGACAGCAGGCTTAAAAGGGGCAATCATGGCTCGGGCAGGGCAGAGGACGATATCATACAGGTCTGCAGTCTTACAGACATTAACCTCAGTTAAGAATGGACATCTGTGTCCCAGCTGCTCAACTGCACCTTTTCCTGTGTTGCAATGCTTGTTAGGAGCAGAATCCATTTGCTGCCAATGTAGAGGTCCACTTCAGATGAGGCAGATGTACTGATATATATATATAGATTGGCCCGTTGTTAAAGTAAAAAATTAAAGGACCCTTTTCCACGCCTTTAGGCGTATAGGGCATAACCAACTGCACAAGATGGGTGATGTGGTCAGCATCAGGCCGGCCACCTTTACTTCCCGGGACTGCACCCGGTACCCACTCAAGGCTGGGTCGACCTGGAAACCAAGGTCATTTTTTTTTTTTTAGAAAAGTCCGGCTCCGCCGGGGAGCAAACACACGACCTTCCGATTTGCAGAGCCGCCCTGCCATGGCGACTCCCGGGTCCGTTGTACAAGGACAAAAAAAGTACATGGGCGTTTACTGCATGCTCTGCAGGCAGAGCAGTCCAGGAGGACAGTGGCGCCTTCTGCATGACTACTAACAGCATGGCAATGAAGGTGATGGCAGTAACACGAGCTTTAATGTGGCTAGCATGGCAGGGGCTACTCTCATGTGTGTGTGCTGAGTAATTCTAATTCCTCTGGCGGACAGAGGCAGGCTTTGTATGCAGACAGTAAACTGAGCCATTGCAAAACTGCAATGTGCGTGGAGTTACCTTCATCTTTGTACCAGGGTATGCCGGTGTTGTTGGAAATGAAACAGCCGACATACTAGCTGACTCTACTCTGGTTACAGAGGGCTAGCCTGTGGATCATACTGACATTGTTAATGCCATTAGAGAGGTAGGATGTTCAGAGGATTTTGGGAGCAGCACTTCCACACCTTTGCAAAGAGTGCAAGAACTGGGAGTAAAGAACCTCACAGCCAGGCATGAGAAGCACATGTGATGCACGAGAAGTCTTGTCAACCAACATAGGACTGGGACTATCAATCGCGGCGCGGGACGCTGATGTAGATATTGAAGGGGAATCTGAGCACCTACTGGCGTGTCCGGAGTGCCGTGAAGATAACCCAAATCAAAAAACTCATTAATGTATTTAGAATGTCTACAACAATCATCTCATGCTTAAAAAAAAAAAATCTAATATTAATGTATTTAGAATGTCTTTGGTAGCTAGCTAATTGTCACCCATTCAAGATGCTTTACACAAGTGAACCACAATTTATCAATGAATGCTAGCTCTGACAGTTGTGTTGAAATGGCTTCTTTGTCCACAATTTTTTTGTATATTCCACGACTTTCTTAATAGTCCATGACAGTCTTGACAGTCCATGACAGTCTTGACAGTCCATGACAGTCTTGATAGTCCATAATGTTGTAATAGCCCATGACTTTCTTACTAGTCCATGATTTTCCTAACATCCCATGACTTTCTTAATGGTTCATTATTTTTCTTACGGCCCATGACTTTCTTAATAGTCCATTATTTTCCTAATAGCCCATGACTATCTTAACAGTCCATTATTTTCTTAAGTCCATGATTTTCTGAATAAACAATAGTCAACCTTGTTAACATTACCCCCAGATTTCAACTGTATCTTACATCTTGACTTATTCATCCCCTGTATGCATGTCTGTTATCTTACATGGTGGACATGAATGATCCTTAATATTTTATTTTCAGTCCACTCTTGAAGTCTGAAGGACCATTTCATTTTCTCCAAAGTCCTTCACTGACATTCAGTGTGTTGAGAATTTGTTGACAAACGTTTTGCCATGCCCCCATTTAGTCCATACATGTGTGAGATTGCAACAGCATCATCTTCATACAGTTAATTTAAAATATTTTTTAACACCCCAAAAAAATGTATCGTGGTTACACCTTCAAATTTGTATTCATAAATTAACGATGTGTGAATAAAAACTATTTTTACAGTGCAGTAAAGGAATATAAGGGAATTACACAAATAAATATAAATGTGGGGCACACTATACCAAAAGCCAGAAATGGAAAAGTGCAATGGATTGAAAGCAAAGCTCTGGACAGCAACTGTACTGGCACAGGCACAATAAATGATACTGAGGATAAAATACCTGATGGTGTGCAGGCTGAGAAGCACCCAGGGCTAATGAGCCTGCAGTCTTGCCTACATCCTTAGCCTGAGCCAATACCTGGCTAGCAAACTGCTGGCCTGGCACAACCACATTTGTAGAACTAGAAACAAGACCCGCTGTGGTCAAACTCTGGACACCGGCTACTTGTCCAGGCTGCAACAGAGACGGAACCACTCCTTGTCGTTGAGAGCCCACAACTTGGCTCAAAGCCACTCCTTTGGTAACAGCAAGCCCCTGGACCATCGAGCGAGAGACCTCCTGCGGAGGCAGGACCTGAACTTGGGGTGTAGGTACCAGTATTAGATTCTGGCTCTGTGCGGGGGCAACTAATGGCTGGTTGTGGATTAAAGGGGAAACAAGGCTAAGCGCAGGCCCCTGCGGTGTAGGTATCAGGTTCAAAGACTGCGCTGGGGCCAGACCATGGAGCTGGTGAGGGTGCTTCAGCCCAGGCTGCAAGGGATGGGTTATAAAGCCATGACCAACAGTTTCTGAGGCATGTGACTGGTGGAGTTGTGTAGCTACCTGTGAGATCTGTGGCACACTTGTACTTGATGGCGGCTGGGATGTCTGAATTGTATGGTGTGCAACTGGAACCTGCCCAGGTACCGGTGTCTGCAGGGCATGGTGCTGAACTGGAACTGGAGCAGGTGTTGGAGGTGCCTGGTGCTGAACTACAGCTGGAGTGGCTGTCGTTGTCTGCTGTGTTTGGCCACTAGTCTGTGGGGTATGTAACACAACTATATATATATAGATAAGTGGGTATACAACACAACTATACATACACGGGTAAGTGGAGTATATAATAATTATAAACTAGATAAGTGGAGTATATAAAAATTATAAACTAGATAAGTGGAGTATACAGCAACTATAAACTAGGTAAGTGGAGTATATTAAAAATCTGAAACTAGCTAATGGCAGATATAACATAAATAGAAGTCTTAATTTTTTTAAAGTCAACTGCGTGTCCAGGATATTGCAGAACCAACCTCACAATTTTTTTAAGACTGTTTATGATGTCACCTAGCATCTGCAGTTTGTCAGTTCTTCCTGACCACTGCAGGACCACTGTCAAAACTGCCAAATCATCCAAACCGGAAAAATCCCAGCACCTTGGAATTATGAAGTGACTTTTACAATGTCTAAGCAACAAGCAGGCAGACCGTAATGAGAGAAACGTTCTGCAAAGGACCTGCTACATGATGAAGCAACAAGCATTGACATACAGATAAAACAGTCAACCTAAGTCTTTCATCTTAACAGTTTAAAATGAACCATCATTGGCCAGTCTAAAATCCTTTAGTGACACTAAAAAAAAAAAAAGATTTATACAGCCACAAGCATCTGCTTCCCACCCCCTCCCCCAATGCCACTGTATGAGACCTTGACTAGTGCCTTATTGATTGTTTTAGCTGTAAATGTATTCCAAAAGTCTATAAAGAAAACATATTTGACCAACTGTAACATCGCTTCTAAGAGATAGCAAACAGGTCAAAGTCCCAAGGGCTGTAATATCCATATGGTATTTGATTATAAATAAACTTTACCTACTTTCACAAAATAACTGGAATTAGTACTGTCAGAGGCATTATCAAGAATAAAATAACTTTTAAGCTTTACATTATTTATCAAGAATTAAAACAGCAATTTAAATTATTATAGTATTTATCATGAAAGTTTCAACTGTCATATATTTGTGAAAATAATATTTGTATATTCATAAATGAATATCAGTCTCTCTCACTCCTTTACTGCAACCCACACAAAATGCTATACAGGGGAGAAAGGGAGGGGGGGGGGAGGAAGGTTGTGTAAACATAATATAATATACTGACCTCGGGTACAGGCTTCTTCTCCCGACTTTTAAGAACCTGTGCTATGCGGTCTCGAATCTGTTTAGCAACAATCCTTTTGTCATCATCCAAGAGGAAGCCAGACTTAACCTGGAGGGAGAATATGCAGTACAGGTAACATTAGTATTGTATCTTTCGTATGCTGGACTGTGAACATGTCAAAAACATTTTCTACTAACTAATCATTCCAGTTCTAGAACATCATGCTTCATATAAATAAAAGGTCACACTCAAAAACAAACTGTTTACCAATAAACCACTACAACACACAAACACTGATGTTCCTGCCTGTATTGACCACCTGTGTGGTGTAGGCAGAAAGGTCTTTGAGCCTGAGAATTTTGGGCCTCGCTGCTGGTCCAGTCGCTTCAGACAGTGTAGGTCAAATTTTTTTTGGTTCTGATTAATATTTTTATTTTAAAAAACCTGACCTTACTGGAAAAATTATTCTTCTTCTTCGCTTTCATCAGTCAAAAAATCCTGAGGACAGTTCTGGTTGTTTGTCTACTTCTGAACTTTGTCTCGTTCCAGACTTGAGTTTTGCATGCGCATCTATTTTATTATGGATCTGGCTTATTTGTATGCAGACTGCTGGTTCCTTGTTTATCCAGCAGACACCTTGCTTGTCAGGAAAACAGTGGGTCTATTTATTTTACTGAAGATTCGAACCTGGGTATCCTGCATGACAGCCTAGCATTCTCAACCATTGAGCCAGCCACTCATCCTACAACAATACAGAAAATTTGTGTCCACAATTTTTACGTACATCTAATTATTTTACAAATGTCACAATTAAATGATATCTCCCTCTAAGCAGACAATTCTACACGTGAGACACACAAATAAGCACTCCACCCCTGTCTGTACTGAAGGCACAAGAAAAGAAAGATGAGATCATTAGAGACGACACACGGCCACAATTCTGAACACAAATATTTAAAGATATAGCCATCTTCACTAAAAGGTGCATCGAAATATTATCAAATAAAACAACCTTAGTTCTCATTTGTAGTTAAGTGTGGTTACAAAAGTGGACAGTGTTTTTTTTAAAAACTTATTTTGTTCCCGGGTCAAACCAATCTAGATCAAACACTAGATAATTTCCCGAGAAGTTACGGCAATTGGCATACTGACCATATCATGCACCCTGCGCCAATTGATCTAGTCTTATGGAACTGACCCAGTATACTGACCATCCCACATGAGATGAAAAGGGGTTGGTTACCTTACTGCTTGTTATCACAACTGTCAAACCAAAATTATTTAGAACCAGCCTGCTAATGTAACAATTAGTTTCTTCAAGAAGCAAGAGCTCAAATGAAAGAGAAAAAAAAATCAGAAAACTATACCATAATAACATATGAGTAGGTTCCAGAGCCAGGGGAGGGAGTAAATCGGCCAAAAATACTGGCAGTTAAGTTTTGCTGAAAGTGGATGTTGAGGCTTAGCTGTAAACCACAACATGACATGCCAACTGCCTTTCAAGAAAAAGATAAGGAATCTGAAGAAGAACATACAAATACTAGGTCTGATGCAAGAGTTTAATCAATTGTTACCATATTCTTACCAAATCTGCAGCAATTTCCTCCGGTTGATCCTTGCTAAGATCAAATTCAAACTGAATGGCTTCATTTTCTTTGTGTGTGTCCCTTCTCTTTTTGGCGTCCACTACACGCAAACGAAGTGGAATGACCTGTGCATCTGCTAACTCATCTTCAATACCCAGAAACTCCACCAACAAACCTGTATCTTCCAAGAAAAAATCATGAGCAAGCAGGTCTTTCACTGTGAGTCTGCAAAATGAGATTAAAAAATATTTCTAACATTTGCCAACAAACAATCATAATAACAATAACAAATGTTTCATGCAAACAAAGTGTCTGTTTTTTTTTTCCTTCAAACTATTGTACTCCACCATTAAATATGATGAAAACAGCTGTTGTTCTCTAACCTCGGAGAGCCCCCTTCTTTTACAAATTTCTCACAAATTGTTTAACAACAATCAGGTTCGTTTTCTTGTGGCTCCCTGTAATCCTGTTAGTTTGCCTTTCTTTCCTCCAGTACATTTTATTTTTTTCAATAAAAGTGTTATATGTCTGTCAATGCAGCTAAAATATGTCTCCTTTTTTTAAAAAACTTTTTTGAATTTCTAGACTCATCAGAACCTCTGTTCGTTTCTGTTTCCAGGAAAGACACCTATTATTCTGTAAATCTTCATCTCTGGACTCAGTTAAATATGACATATTGTGTCTTTTTTCTCTCAGAAATGAACGTCTGTGACACTAAATACAAAACAGTATATAATTTATGGTAAATGTAAACTACAATAACGCATTTCCTCACACTGTAAAGTAGAACAGAAATAAGATGGAAGAAAAAATACTTTACTGTCAGAAATAAGGAAGAATAAATATTGCACTCTCACAAACTGTTATAATTGTCAGAAACCAATTACAATAGGCAAAAGTAATCCCAAAATATGAAACTGCCAAAGAAGTTCTAAACTGCTTTTCTCTTATGTGCTGTGTCACAGACTCATAGACTCAGTTAATCAGCTTATGTCCTCAATTTCACGCTTTCAGAAAACCATCTGGTTTATACTGTGAATTTTGATTCAGCCAGATGTACAATTTCTGGTGCCCTTTATCCCCCAAACTGATCCCTATGTTCTTAGACATGCCAAGCTATTCTTTGTCATCATACGAAGCTCACTCGATGTCCCCCCAATCTTTTCCCCTCAGTCTCTATTTTTAATTTCCCTTATTTCATTGACCCTGTGGGTCCATGCAAAAGCTTCTGGTTATGATCATGTTTACTCAGTGTGATAAATCAGATCAGAATGGTTGAAAGCTAAATTAAGAATCAAAATCACGACACTTAGGATTCTCCTATAAGCGCTCCGTCATCACCTTCAGCAGCAAACGGAGAGTTTCGATTCAGATGGCACCAGCAACTGGCTGACTATATATCCGTCTTGCCTTTCCCTTCAGTGCTGAGCATAGGCCATATCCTTTGGTAACTCCTCGAAGTACCATTCTTTTTAGACCGTAATGACTTATTTGCGCCTCCGACTGTTCACTCTATCCCAAATAAGTCGTACAATATCTAGCTTGTCATACATCAACACTAAGTGGTGTAGAAACAGTCAGTCTATCTGCCTGTTCATTTTCTAACACACCTCTACATGACGTGGAGAAAATATCTAAACGATACTACCAGGAAACTCTGAAATGATGCTTGTCACTGCATTTTTCTCAGCATGCTATGTGAGTCCGTTACAAATACAACATGTGTACATCTGGTTCTCAAACCAGCAGAAGGCAGCAGTGACTGTCTCCACCTCCATTCTTAAGCTAAACATTGTGCTATCATATGTTTCTTGCTCGGACACTGACCAACTCCTCTCCTCAACCAAATTGTTCAAGCTTGCACACGTCTAATTGTGACTTCAGCTTGCCACATCAAAGACCTTCCTCTTTTCATTATGTGACACTTAGCCCTATCTAGGGCTTCTTGCCTGCAGCTACTCTGAGATGACTTTGCTTGTAGACACACTACTACTGGGGGATCTCCTGTATCTCAGAATTGCCTGCATGGCTTCATTCTGGATTCTATGGATTTTGTACACCAGATCAGAAGAAAAAAAAAAAAAAAAAATCAACCATGCTACCTAATGGACTGTTAACTAGTACCACTGATGTCTTAAACCACCACATAACTGAAACTGTGTACATGCACAAGGTGAAAACATTTAAATAAGGGCTAATAGCTGGAGATCAAGGAACAGTATGTACATAAAATGTTCAATGACAACCATGCAGCGCCTTTAGAGTTGGATTTAAGAAAACAAAACACAACATGAAACCTGAGGCTACATAGAAATATAAACAAGGTTTAACTAATATCTATTCATTTATAGTATAGTATAGTATAGTATAATATAGCATAGTATAGTCAGACTGAGACGACGGGAGGTAGAAGATTGTTAACAGACAAAAAGACTGATTTAACAAAAATTACAAGATGATGAAAGATATTCATACTGAAATATCTCTGTGCAGTAGCAACAACACCACCAATGTTGACATCCAGGGTTTATACCTACCAACAGATTGACAGGCAGTTTGAGAAACACAAATTATGAGGTATATGAGGTGGAGTTTACAATTGGTGAACACTAACAAGAACAGAGACAAAAAGAAGCAATTTCAATAGTTTAATTGAAGATGGATGGATGGCCCCATGCTCATAAGTTGGAACCCTCAGCGAGGCACATTAATTTTAGTTGACCTGGGTTCCCAGGCTGACATCATGTAAAATGGATACGTTGAAATATTACAGGAAATAAAAGTAACAGGCATGACAACCAAATCATCCACTGCTCCAAACAATTGTAAAGCTAGCCCTGCATGTCAATAATACATACTTTACTTATCGATGAAGAGAAGAAGAGTACTGTCAGAATAATGTCACCATCTCACAAACTAGCACATTACATTCATCTGAAAGAATGAATATAAAATCAAGAACAAACATACCTTTCCTCTTTCTTAGTCCGAATACAGCCTTCGATGATTCCATGAATCTCAGGATCCTTAACTTTATCCAAGGCTTCAGGATACACACCCTATACACCAGCAGACAATTATAAAATCCATTAGGAAGTTATACATTCAATTCTCTCAAAAAATTTCTCTTCAGCTGCAAAAAAAGATGTCAATATAATAATAACACCCATAGCAAATCACACAGCACAAGGATAAAGAATAAATGCCATACTTACATTAGCAGTTACAATCAATCAATCAACTTGCAGGACCATTACAGAAAGTCGCTCTCTTCACAACACACCTGAAAGTATCTTTCTCTAGCCAATTCTCCATCCCTGTAAGCTTTCACAGCCAATGCACCTTCAATGTCTGTCCTAAATCCATGTTCGCGGAGGTCGGCCTCTGTCTCATTTTCTGGAAACTGCGCAATCCATCACCGTTCTTTACAGAACAGCATGGCGCTTGACTCATGTTAGCAGTTACAACAAAACAAACGTACCTAAATTCAAGTTTTAGCAAACCAAATCACCAGATTAATCTGCATGAGAAATATTAAAAAGAAATAAAAATTAAACGTGGATTAGAGATATTTTCTCAAATTATATTAAACTTTAAAAAAAAATAATCCAAAGAGAAAATAAAAACGCTTACAGTTGTGACTTTACGATATATCTGACCAGGGTTGTGGCATTCTTTGTAGGGATACTCCGAGGATGCCATCTCCAGCATGCACATCCCAAAGGCATAGACATCCACTGCTTCATCATAATGCTCCTCGTACATCTCTGGTGCCATGAACTCGGGTGTACCTTAAAGAATACAAAGGACGCCTTGTACTCTCCCGCTGCCTTAGAAGGGGAAAGAAAGAGTGGATGCCTAAGATTAGTTGTAACAGCACTGGACTTTCATCAGCTGAAAATTTAAAAGGCATTTGTGATGCATCCTAATACATTCAGTAACTTGTTTAGTCTATATTTCACACATAAGACACAACAACACAAGCGGCTAATACACCTACTCTGTGTCTCCTTTACCCCTATAAAGATGTTTATTAACAAGCATCTTGCGTAAGAAGGATGCACCACAAATGGTTAGGCATAATTACCCAAATATTTAAACAAGAGCAAATTGTCAGGAAAAACTACTGACCTACCTTTCAGTCCAGTGCAATTACCATTTTATCAAGAAGAAAATCGCCCAAAACAGATGCTAAAGGCAGATAAAGAAAGATAGAGGGAATGAGAAGAAAAAAATTAATATTATGGCATAACTGAAATGAATCTGAAGATGTGTTTCAATGTCATTTTGGATCATACTGAAGAAATATACATGCTTGTAATGTGTGTTTTGTAATATGTTATTTCATTTCAAAATATGCTGGAAATATTTACTGTACATGCTTTTCAAAACGTCATGTAATGAACACTTCACGGTAAAAACAAAACACTTAATGGCTTTTGATCAGGAGTTTCATAAATCTATCAAACTGAATTATAAGTTGATATTTACTGCTAATGTCCACACATCAAGGAGACAGTCTACTGTTAAATTATCCCCTAAAGGAGCCAACATATAAGATAAGAATCTAAGACCAACAAAATGATACTCACATGAAAAATATTCAACTGCTAGCATCTTCAAGAAATATACATGTAACAAATTAAAAACAATATATTGGAGTGTGGTCATTTGGTACAGAAAATACTGGCAAAATTGACATCAAATGCGAACAACAGCAAAAATGTGTACAGCGCATTAAACTTATGAATAAGCAAACAGCATTAAACATTTGTGGGTAACCTACAACCTAAAGGATAATACAAATCAAACTTACCTATGACGCTCTTTGCAAAGGAATTATTTTTCAGGGTTGCTAATCCCAAATCCCCAATCTTCACAGAGCCTGTAGTGCCTGTGATAAAGATGTTGTCACACTTCAGATCTCTGTGGATGATTGGCGGAGTTCTAGTGTGCAGATACAGTAAACCTTTCAGGATTTGCCGACACCAGTTTTTCAAAACTTTCAGATTCAATTTTTTAAAGCGTCCTAGGTACCTGTGGAATCAGAAAAATCAAAGTTATCCAGTGCAACTTTTCCTGCACCTAACTTTAAAAAAAAAAAAATACCCCAGTGGTAGGGGTGGTATAGGGAGTAGAGGCCTAATTAAAGGTTATAGTCAAGAGAAATGACTTCACTGCACCAAGTTTTATTCCACGTGGCTCAGTCTTTTTCAGCAGCGGTTAGCCTGAAAGTCTCAGGTTCAAATATGCATCAAGGCTGATTTTTCAATACTAGTTTTCACTTCCTGGTTAATCAAGACTAAAACGGGTACTCAATAATTCTCTGAGCCGGGCTCTGTCCTCCTAGAAAATAAGGCGCCTGTACGCACCACAAAGTGTTTAGACAAAGGTACCAGACTTGCCACAAAGTGTCTTACATTAGTGTGCTGAAAAGGATGCCTTAAAGGGGTGTCAGTACTGCGTACCGCCAGAAAAAAAAAAGCCCTGGTTCTGAGAAGTAAAGGTACAGATTAATCTTTAAAAATATGAGCCTAATGTCTGATGCGCTGGTGGTGTTAAAAAGCAAATGGAAGGGTGGAGGGGAGTGTCCTTTTACATTACATCATTCTTTCGGGTGTAGGCTCCGGAGCTTCACTGCTTGTCTAATAAGCGCTGTCACGCAAAGTGACAAATCAGAGGTGTTTCAAAGTCAGAATAGCAGGTGCCTAAGAGGCAAGGAGCCACCAGTCTGCACACAACTGAGCCAGATCTGTAAAATGGATGTGCACACACAACTCAAGTTCTGGAACAAGACTTAGAGTCCAGAAGTGGACGAACAACCAGAACTTGTCACCGAAGTTTACAGCCAGTGAATGAAAGGAGATCATGAATTCTTAATGTGCGTAAACTGAAAACATGAAAAACGAAAAAAGGTTTGCTGGCGTATTAATTCTTTCTCAATCGACAAAAATTTAGAATTGGATTTGTGATAAGTGAAAATCTCTTCAAAGTAATTATGCAAACATTACCTGAAAACCGCAAAATAATCTGCTTACTGCAACAGGTATAACCATAATGTAGCCTATGTCACTAAGTTACTGCAAACAATATTTTAAACATATTTCAGACAAAACTGTTTTAGTATCTCATTTTTTTTACCAACAGCAGATACAAATTCCTGTTTAAAGTTTTGAACATTCCGGTCAAAGAGTTTGGCCTAATTTTTCCAGAACTGCTGTTAAAATATTCAATTTTTTCTTCAAAACATATAAACTGCTAACATGTTTATACTACCTATGTTTATTCCTTTCTGTGGCTGGGTAGGACTAGGAAGTCTTGAGCCTGAAAATTTAGGGCTGTATGGCAAACGTAGTCCTGGTGACTGCAGGTTAGGATCTATTTTTGCCTGAGAGCACATACACATAAACACAACTTTCCGAGGTAGTCCTGGTAACTGGGGGTGAGAATATCCAGGAAAAACACAATGGATCTAGAGAAGCAAACCTTGATAATAAACCCGGTGCATCACACCCTACTGTTGGAGGCAAGGAACCGGAGGTGTGCTGAACTATCTTAGGAGTGAAAACAAGTATGCTAATCCCCCCCCCCTCCCCGGAACACCGGAACTATCGTAAAGGCACAGGGACTAAGGATATGATGATCCAGTTGCCCCAACTACTTATCCTTGGAGTTATGAAGAGCTTAGCAAAACCAGCAGGCAATCTGGTGGCGGGAAATGAGCACACTGTGAGCCCCACCTTAACTACATGTTATAGAGAAAGGCTTTGGGCCAGAGGGCAAAAGTTTGCGCGCCGCTGGATCCCTAACAATAAACACAACTCTATAGCTCAAAATATGTTACAGATACTGAAAAATAATTCAGCAAAATGTTACAAAATATACATAAGTAAGTCTGTATAAACTGTAATGCAAACCAGGGCTGTTCAATTAAGTTAACTCAGGGGCAAAAATTTTGGCCAGAAGTCTGAGTCCCAGCATCATAAAATCCCTAGGCCACTTGCTAGGCTTCCTTGGCCATCAGGTTGCCAAAAAATGCTGATGTCAACTATAAGAAAGTATATTTTAAGATTTCTAGAATCCAGAAATGCTGGCAGTAAATTACTGTTACCACATGCTTTAATTTTCCATTTTTCACAATTCACTTTGTGACAGGTAAAAATAAAACATTCATGGCAAATCAAATTTGTTAACATACTGTCATCACTAATATGAATTTGACAACAGAAAATAATCACAATAATTAAACACAAACCCTCACAGCAATTATTACATTTTATAAAAGCAATTTCTCTCATACAATATTTCAATACTATAGCATAAAAGGTATAGTTACGTTTTCAAGGTTCCTGATGTCATGAGTTCTGTAATAAGGACAATGATCTTTTGTCTATGTGACCCTTCTTCCTCCCAGTAGTCAAAGAATCTGAGAATATTCGGATGCTGTAGTTCCTTCAGCATCTCTGCCTCTTCTTTAAATCTCTTCCGGTCACTTTTGCCCCACCGTTTGTCCTGAAATACACAATTAAAATATATATATTAGCATAAATAAAATGCACACATAAACAGCAAGAGAGATGATATCAGTAATAATAAAAATAAGTTATGAATGGCACCTTTCAGGCTTTTCAGATGACAGTACTGTGCTACGAGGAGGCAGTGGAATATTCCAGTTATTCAATTACAAGAACAGCCTGCATCATTATAGCTTAAAAGCCTGTGCAGTTTTAAAGAAATCCCGAGCTGCCTAAGCGTCTTGGTCCCTGTTTTGGCGTGCTTTGTCTACACCAAAGGAAAGGTAATTTACCAATATATTTGGAACGAAGCAGGTTGCAGGCACAGCCTGATAAGTATCTTACGAATGAAAGTTTAAAGTGTACCGCATATCCAAGCGGGATTAATAAAATTAATGTAAAATAAATCAGTATTTTGATAACCGATTGGTCTTTTCTATTAATATGTGGGGAAAAAATGTGTCTAGGTTATTGTGGACAAATAACAACAACACAAACCTATGTTTTCAGTCATACAGACAACAGATGACTCTATAGCAGATGCTAGTATTGGGATGTGAATTATCTTTAGATATAACAGGCAATGTGGCCAGTGTTCATTTTCCCTGACATCTTTCCAGACAGTTCTGAAAATTATATATACAGTACTCATTTTTACCATGAAGCCATACTAGTTGGACAGATGAATCCTGACACTGCAGGTGTTGATCTGTACTCTATCTTGGTAAGCAGACACTGCAGTTATATGACAAATGTATGGCTTTAACAATACGTTTATTAAAATTAGTTGGGCATCCTTTACAGGATGTTGCAGAACCAAGCCCAGAATTTGTCTGTCTAGATTTACTAGGCAAGTTTTCTGTTCTGAAGTTTGCCACTGAATTATCAGCTCTCGATACCTGTCGAAACCAAAGCAAGGTGGTCTGCTGTCACCCTGACTGCAGATTGGATTGATTTCGGCACCTTGGAATTACAGTGTGTTTGTTAAGGCTAAGCCACGGATGATATTGATTACACACTCCAGAACTTATTTACTGCTAATGATTAGTATGATATACAACAGCTACAGTCCTGTAAATCAAGACTGAGTCATGCTCTCTTTTGGATATTGTTAGAATACATAACTCAGTGACTGACTAGGTATAAACAAGCTGACATGTTAATGAACAAATTATGACAAGCCTGGAGCTAGCAGATATATGAGGTCTCAGATCTGAGAAAAACCCAGTTACTACTAAAGTAACTAACTGCCTGGGAAAAAAAAAGCTCAGGAAAGTAAAACATAAAACATCTACAATAATAACACAGTACTGTCAGCTACATTCCTACAAGCAACGCATCAAATGCTGATTTATAACTAATGTACCTGCCATCTGATACGGACAGAGTAAACCATGTGATGAGAAGTGAGGTATAAAAAAAAACATGAGTGGAAAGATCAAAGGCAGAACAAGACAGTCTAAACATTGGAATTAAGGAGCAGCATGAATAAAACATTTGCACAACATAAAAGACCTTGTGTATGAATTGTGTTGCTTTTTCTTAATTTGATTCAATATATTTTTTTATGCTCTTCAAACAAACAAACAAAACGGGTGTTTTACCCGCCCTGGATCAGGAAAAATTGTATTTTTCCTTTACATCGCACCCATAAGTGCATTCACTACTTTATAACCAATCTGACTGCTGACAGTTATGTTGTTATCACAATCGACTTCACTGCATATTGGGCATTCCCATGCATGCTCAGTCCTGCGATGCAGCAGCCACTCCAAAGTACTTCTACTAATTGTTCCAATGAGAAGCTGGTTATATTGTCTCTTATCTCGGCCTCGAAGACGGCAAAGACGTGCTTCACCATGCTTTACTCAAATGTCACGTCTATACAGCCCAGTCTATACAGCGGTGACGATATCTGCCTTGTCCATGCTGACAGTAATAACAATATGACTGATTATATATGCAAAAAAATATACAGAGATACCACACATCATTACACCAGATACTGAGAAAATGAGTTTGCATGTTCAAAATAATGGAATCAGTCACAATTATTTACAACTATTACTACTACTGAATAAGCTGAGTATTTACAAACTTCAAACTGAGTTGGTACAAACAAACTGAGATGACCAAACGGTTCATTAGAGAAAAGTATTCACAAAGTATAACAGGAAATGTTAATGTTCAGACTGTTCAAGACCACTCACCTGAAGCTCACACCAAGCAACATGTACACCTGTATCAATTTCTAAACCTTTGTGGACAGTTTTGAAAGCTCCTCGACCAACCTCTTCATCCAGCTTCATAAATCGATGATCTGGAGACATTCGTGGCTGCCTGACATCCTCCTCTTTCTTCTTCGCCTTAGCCTCATGTTCTGATTCTGCTTCTTTTGTAGGGTGGGCATTGGTGACCGCATGGGATTTATTCAAACCTGCGGCAGCGTCAACTTCATCCTCTTTCTTCTTTACATTAGCATCATGTTCTGAATTAACTTCTTTTGTAGGCTGAGCATTGGTGACCGCATGGGATTTATTCAAACCTGCGGCAGCATCAACTTCATCCTCTTTCTTCTTCACATTAGCATCATGTTCTGAATCAACTTCTTTTGTAGGCTGAGCATTAATGACCACATGGGATTTATTCAAACCGACAGCAGCATCATCCTCTTTCCCCTGCTGTACTCCACTAGCCTCTCCCTGAACTTGCACGGCATTCGTACCCTTGATATCTTTATTCGAATCACTCGCTTTTATCACAGTATCAGCTTTTACACCTACATTTTGTACACTTGCATTGCACTCTGTTTTAGTTACATTCTGTACACTTTTCACATTACTCTCCACGGATTTAGAATTGGAAACTTCTGAATTCACATTATGAGATACATCACTAACATCCTTTGCATCCTTACTAGAAATTCCTTGAGGCGAAATACCTTTACTGCCTTGCATAGTTCTGTTCACTGGCTCAAGTTTTTGAGGAGATACTGAATTACTACACTTTCTTTCTTTCTCTGAAGCCTTACTACTACCCAAATCTGAATTATCACCAACACCTAATTGTGTCTCCTTTTTATCGAGATTATTACTTTGATCTTCAATGCTGGCACGAATGGCTGTAACGCCGTGTTTGGATGGGATTGGAGTCGGGACTAAAGGTGTCAATTTATATGTTGTCTTACCAGTGGGTTTTCTTGTAATGGATGAATGTAATTCCAGTTCTGAATTGACTGCACTGACGGAAATACTATCCGAAATACATCTACGAGTATTCGCTGAACGAGGACGCACTAAAGAACTGGATATATCTTTCACTTCATTCAGTTGTTCGTTAACCAACTGTTTTTTATTTTTGTCAACAATTACCTCTGACTTTTCAGATCTGTCAGATTTTTTAAGTCGAATAGCTGTATCAACATCTTGAAAATGGTGATTCTGGGGCGGGCGTTTATTTATACGAGAAGGAGATTTCTTTCGTTCTTCAGTAGCATCGCCATTCATAGCCCTTTTTACATAAGACTTACTCATTGTTGTATTCCCTAAGCCGTGCTAAATCTAATTCAGATTTACAACACGACATTAATATTTACAAATCAGAATAAAATTAAAGCTATGTAATTCTTAACTTTCCGTTTTAAGTCAAAACATCGCCGATTCTACCAGAAATAGAACATTTGCTATACAGCCTCGAGTTCACAGTCAAAACAGTCGAATCAAGCCGCGCCGATACTTGTAATTGAAGTCCTTTAAATGATCTTGTTTTCTGAATATCCTCCATTTAGACAGACAGGTGGCGGGAAAACAACGTTGCCACAACGAATATAATCCAAACTAAACACAAACATGAAATAGTTAGTCCAAAGGAGGCTCAGTGTTCGCCTATCAACGATCACATCTTCACTGATCTGTTCACGACCTGCCACAGAGGTCTATGGCGGCTTCTTCCAGCAGGGCAGTTTGAAAGTAGTTCGTCAGTGCCACAATCAAATAAACTTTGCACAATCCAAATATATTTCAAGTCAATAAGCTTTAAACTATTATATTATAAGGAATAATAAATAAAACACAAAACCTCTAATCAAAGAATGTGTAAATAAATTGTTGATACATAGTGTTATATCACGACGCGCACTAATAAGGTGTGCAGCGACGGATATCCGTCTGAAATGACGAGTGGCCTATATTTGATGATGATAGTCTATTGCGGGGTCAGGTCAAAAGTGGGACCCCCGTCACTCCACCAGTCGCTCCTGTAGGACACAATGAGAACATATTTAGTGGACGATAGTTCGTCTAGTAATCGTATCTGTGCGTAAGATATAAATAACTGCATGTGTGTAGTAAAAGATAAATACGTCTATGTACGTGTGCGTTATATATACACATAAATACACACACACATATATATATATATACATGCAATAAATAGAAACAATGTGTAGAAATATATAAATACAAATAGGTACATGTGTGCATGCGTGAGATATAAATACGAGTGTTTGTTTAAAATATGAGGTAATAGTTAAATAACTAAATTAATGCGTACGTGAGACACACACATACTGACACATGTACATGACACATACACATAATGTGTGTTTAGAATGCCTTATTATAGATAAGTAAATATTACGAAAAAAAATCAACGCTAACAAAAACTAATGATTCAGCTTCCCAATAAACACGGAAACGAATATAGAGTAAAGAACATTTTGTGCAATAAATCTATGCCATTTGCGGTTAGAAAAAGAATTTTCGCATACTTTATAGAGCAAGTTTTAACATACGGCTGTGAATCCTAGACAATTAATAAACAGGCCGAACAATATATATATATATATATATATATATATATATATATATATATATATATATATATATATATATATATATATATATATACAGTCGCGAATTAGGGAGAGGTATGATCGCTGACGCCCGTCGGCAAGTCACTTGATGATGATGATGATGACGACTTACTTTAAAAAAAATTCGTGTGGGTTCCAGGATCCCACTGTGGGATATTTTCCGAAGACTGTAGGAGCAACACCTTGAGACAAAGTTAGAAATGATAGTATCCGACAGACTGAAGGAGCAACACCTTGAGACAAAGTTAGAAATGATAGTATCCGACAGACTGAAGGAGCAACACCTTGAGACAAAGTTAGAAATGATAGTATCCGACAGACTGAAGGAGCAACACCTTGAGACAAAGTTAGAAATGATAGTATCCGACAGACTGAAGGAGCAACACCTTGAGACAAAGTTAGAAATGATAGTATCCGACAGACTGAAGGAGCAACACCTTGAGACAAAGTTAGAAATGATAGTATCCGACAGACTGAAGGAGCAACACCTTGAGACAAAGTTAGAAATGATAGTATCCGACAGACTGAAGGAGCAACACCTTGAGACAAAGTTCGAAATTATAGTATCTGACAGACTGAAGGAGCAACACCTTGAGACAAAGTTAGAAATGATAGTATCCGACAGACTGAAGGAGCAACACCTTGAGACAAAGTTCGAAATTATAGTATCTGACAGACTGAAGGAGCAACACCTTGAGACAAAGTTAGAAATGATAGTATCCGACAGACTGAAGGAGCAACACCTTGAGACAAAGTTAGAAATTATAGTATCCGACAGACTGAAGGAGCAACACCTTGAGACAAAGTTACAAATGACAGTAGCCGACAGACTGTAGGAGCAACACTTTGAGACAAAGTTAGAAATGATAGTATCCGACAGACTGTAGGAGCAACACCTTGAGACAAAGTTAGAAATGATAGTATCCGACAGACTGTAGGAGCAACACACTGAGACAAAGATAGAAATTATAGTATCCGACAGACTGTAGGAGCAACACCTTGAATTAAAGTTAGAAATTATAGTATCTGACATACTGTAGGAGCAACACCTTGAGACAAAGTTAGAAATTATAGTATCCGACAGACTGTAGGAGCAACACCTTGAGACAAAGTTCGAAATTATAGTATCCGACAGACTGTGGGAGCAACACACTGAGACAAAGCTAGAAATGATATTATCTGACATACTGTAGGAGCAACACCTTGAGACCAATTTATTGAGACACAGAAGATGAAATGGTTTGGTCATTTAGTAAGAATGCAGCCAGAACAACTATCAATGCGGGCGTTACACAGGAACAGATCTGAAGTGAAAGCAAGAGGCCGCCCTAAGAGAAGATGGATTGATGAACAATAGAGAGCTTCTACATCGACAGGGAATGACAATAGCCAATGCTGCCTATCAAGCAATGGATCGCCAAATGTTCCTCCCCACAACGCTTAGCAGCAAATTGTTGATGATGATGGCTACATGGATGATCTGTCATCAGCACGCAAATGGGGAAAAGTCAAGTAGACAAAAGATAACGGGCATCCACCCACATACTGTCGTGACTGCTGTCGTCTGCTGAAATTATTTAAATTTCAGATATGGATGAAACTGGGACGTCATCAAGGTAACCAATACATAAATTAATAGTTTGAATAAAGAAGGCACAAGTAATAGGTTGCAAAATTTATTGCCTAGCATATTTCGCTTTATCTCGTCAGGTGCATACTGCAGTGAACATTTAAATATATGGGTGAATCGGGTAACTCCAATGTCAGACTATCGTTTTTACATCAGTATGCACCTGATGAGATACAGCAAAATTTGCCAGGCAATAAATTGAGCAATCTATTTGTTGTATATTCTTCTTCTTCTTCTTCTTCTTCTTCTTCTTCTTCTTCTTCTTCTTCTTCTTCTTCTTCTTCTTCTTCTTCTTCTTCTTCTTCTTCTTCTTCTTCTTCTTCTTCTTCTTCTTCTTCTTTGTCGTCTCACTGATACCAGGTTGCAGCCCAGTGCCGCGGTTTTCTGTATTTGTCTTGCTCTTCACAAGTGGCTTGACTGGTGATTTTTTTTTGTATCTTCTTTGTTAAAATTTACAACGGGAAAACATTGCTTTAAGGTACTGATGTTTCATAGTTGTTGACTGGAACAAGAAAGTAGTGCGTATTTAAGGGATACTTATTTGCAAAGAAAAGATAGCCAGTTTTTTTTTATTTAAAAAAATTAAGTCATTGACTTCTTCATCGGACACGTTATCATTCTAGCCTAAGGACAGGGCATTTCAGACTTCACCAATATATGTTCAGCATTAGCATGAGAACTCCCCCCCCCCCCTTTTTTCAAAGAAAAAACTTTAACAAATGTAGGGGATTTTTCTATTTGAGACGATGCATGCTACAGACGCTACACCGCCTTGTGGCTGCAGATGCTAGTCAGCATAGTTACTAAACAGACACTACACCGTCTTGTGGCTGCAGATGCTAGTCAGTGTAGTTACTAAACAGACACTACACCGTCTTGTGGCTGCAGATGCTAGTCAGTGTAGTTACTAAACAGACACTACACCGTCTTGTGGTTGCAGATGCTAGTCAGTGTAGTTACTAAACAGACACTACATCGTCTTGTGGCTGCAGATGCTAGTCAGTGTAGTTACTAAACAGATACTACACCGTCTTGTAGCTACAGATGCTAGTCAGTGTAGTTACTAAACAGACACTACACCGTCTTGTGGCTACAGATGCTAGTCAGTGTAGTTACTAAACAGACACTACACCGCCTTGTGGTTGCAGATGCTAGTCGGTGTAGTTACTAAACAGACACTAAACCGTCTTGTGGCTGCAGATGCTAGTCAGTGTAGTTACTAAACAGACACTACACCGTCTTGTGGCTGCAGATGCTAGTCAGTGTAGTTACTAAACAGACACTACACCGTCTTGTGGCTACAGATGCTAGTCAGTGTAGTTACTAAACAGACACTACACCGTCTTGTGGCTACAGATGCTAGTCAGTGTAGTTACTAAACAGACACTACATCGTCTTGTGGCTGCAGATGCTAGTCAGTGTAGTTACTAAACAGACACTACATCGTCTTGTGGCTGCAGATGCTAGTCAGTGTAGTTACTAAACAGACACTACGCCGTCTTGTGGCTGCAGATGCTAGTCAGTGTAGTTACTAAACAGACACTACACCGTCTTGTGGCTGCAGATGCTAGTCAGCGTAGTTACTAAACAGACACTACACCGTCTTGTGGCTGCAGATGCTAGTCAGCGTAGTTACTAAACAGACACTACACTGTCTTGTGGCTACAGATGCTAGTCAGCGTAGTTACTAAACAGACACTACACCGTCTTGTGGCTACAGATGCTAGTCAGTGTAGTTACTAAACAGACACTACACCGTCTTGTGGCTACAGATGCTAGTCAGTGTAGTTACTAAACAGACACTACACCGTCTTGTGGCTACAGATGCTAGTCAGTGTAGTTACTAAACAGACACTACACCGCCTTGTGGTTGCAGATGCTAGTCGGTGTAGTTACTAAACAGACACTACACCGTCTTGTGGCTGCAGACGCTAGTCAGTTTGGCGACTAAGCAAACAGTGCACCGTCTTAGCCCCGCGAACTTTAGTCAGAGCGACTAAACTAATAGATTTACTGATTTAAGTATTGAC